TGTTGAACTCAAGTGATAGCTGCTGGACAGAAGCTGAGAAAAACGCCTGCTTGACTTCCAAAAGTCAACTCTGAGCATAAGGCTAATTCAATCATTCTCTAATCTTGAAGGGCAATTAGTTGTTCTTAATGGATGTTTTTTTATGATTCTAAAGAGATCTATTCTTTGATTTTGAAGCTCCATCTCCCGGTTCTCAAACGAACAAAGACAGTGAAGGCTAGTTGATGATCACAGTTCATAACATGCATTGGAAGACCCTTGTTTATATAAACTACTACTACTATATGTTTATATTGCTATTTGGTTTGTATTTCTGTTTTATGTTTGATATATGGTAGAATTTTTTGTTTTATGGTAGAATTGCTACGGTTCACTTGCATACTGTTACTAAATGCTCAAGAGATGTTAAGTACTTAGTAGCTAGTTATCTATTGTACCAGTGGCAGAATGGTGACTACTAATTCCTTCTCCTACAACTTCTTATGAGTTATAGGAAAAAAATCAAAATTAACATTAACCCGGTGTATACCAGTTCTAGATTTGAAAACTGAAAAGATGAACCCGGTTAACATGAACCCGATATATACCAGTTCCATTGATGATCTCCCTATCATTATACCCTTGGGGGTTGAACTTTGAACCAGCAGGCAACCACAAGCTTATGAAGACAAGGTGTATATAAACTACGAGGCATGTTAATCATGATGCCTCCAATTTGTGTTCTTATTTTCCTTGACATTATATCATCAAATCAGTGGAGGTTTATGTGAACAGGGACAGTCATGGACAGTTCCCCCTCACTAATAAGATTATATGAAYAGGGRCAGTCATGGACAACATCTTTTGGTGTTAATTTGATGAATAGAGGGCTGATTTTATTAGTTATGTGAACAGAGACAGTGCTGGACAGTTCTAGCTTTAAATTTCACTTCTTATATACTAATTTTATTAGTTATAACTTGAACAATTGATGGAGCTATGCAGCCACTTCGAACAATAAACATCAAAAATCTAAAAGCTAGAGCTTCATACCGACAGTTTCTTCCCAAAATTTCCTCTCTTGTAAACTTTGTTAATTCAACTATAATTGTTCCTCTGTTGTAAACTCTACGGCTGTTTATGATAACAACAGACAAAAGMAAAAGAACATCAGAGCAAGAAACCAACAAACCAAGCAAATGATAACATAAAAGCTAATGAAGCAACTAAGCAAGAGAGAACAACAAAAACCGAAAAAAGCCCTGAACCAACTAACCTATTATTATATTACCATAATGAAGAATATAAGAAAGTTCAAACATTAAAACCAACTAACCTATTACCAAATTGATTCTCTTTTCTCTTGCCAAATACCCAAAAATGATATTAAAACATAAATGACCAACAAAACTACCAATTACAACAAAGAGATGTAAAAGAGGATTTTACCTCTAAGTTGTAAATAGCCTTGGCTTCATCAATCGTTAAACCAAAAAGAAGAAAGAAAGTTAAAATCTCATCAGAAGTGGTTGCAGAAATCAAAATCGAAATAGAAATCAAAATCGAAATAGAAATCAATATCGTTTTTAAGAGCATACCTCCAAATTYTAGGGTTTTGAAGAACCTGTGAAATTAAATCAACAGGGAGGAGGGAGCTATGTGTATCAATGAGGTTGTGATACATCAAATGCCTTTGATACATGAAATTGGAGCTCTGATCGAGGTGATACATTCACACCACCATTGTTATGTCAAACGAGGTCTGTGAAGAAGAAAGACCTTTTCTTTCTAACCCAAAATATTTTTGGTTTTGGTGGTCGCAGAGATATGACATAGAAGAAGAAGAAAGCTGGTCTTGGTGGTCGCAGAGATAGGAAATAGAAGAATAAGAAACCGGAAGAAGAAACCGGAAGAAGAAACCAGTCCAAAATGGGTAAGTTTTGGTGTTGTAGAAACATTGCATAAACAACTTGTACATTATGCATAATAGTTTGTAATTAAGAGTTTTTTGAATTTGTTGCATAAAACCATTGTAACTTATGCTTAGTAACTTGTATTTAAGACTTTGTCTTAAATGGTTATATATGTAGTATAGATTATATTATATATTTATTAAAAGATTGAATAAAAATAAAGAATATATATAGTAATTTATAAAGTAATCAATAAATGTTATAGTGGAACAATTTTTGAAAGTGTAGGTGAATTACACATGTATAGATGATAATTACAAAAGCTAATGTGACATAATTAAAAGCATAAATGAATCACAAAGACGTAAATCGTCTAACGGGGTAATAGTGAAAAAGGTTACTTAAATATAATATTTAAATACTTGAAATATCATATTTTAGATATTAAATAAAAAAATTTAAAATACATTATCCGATTACAATAAAATACCTTATTTTTCCGTATAACTTAAAGAATTCAAAGAAATTATATCAAATCCCGTTGGTGTTTTGGTGTTAAAAATGATTGGAATTTAGTTCCTCATATTTCGTAGACTATCAGCGAAACCCCTCTTCTACTTGACGTGTGTGAGGTATTTTTCTTGTGCTGCCCCCAATCTCAAAACGCAATTTTGACCCCAAACCGGTGAATATTCTGGGTACTTTTGTGTTCTGATTTTTGATCATCAACCGTTCTCTGGAGTTCGAATAAGTACGAAATTCACACTGACCAACAAGCTTAATCGAGTCGGTGTTTGTTGGTATACGGTCATGATTCTAGGGTTCAACTTCAATTTCGTAAATTTTTGAAGAAAAATATCCTGCCTATGTCGGAAGATATCAAGAAGAAAATCCATGACGAGGACGGTAGAGGTAAAGGTAAAGTTAATTCAAGAACGACACAACAAAATGGACCCTATCATCGCAGTAAAAAGGAAGATGAAGAGATTGGGCTTTGGGGAATTCTTCTATTTGGACTAATCGGAGCTACTGCCACCACTCTCGCTGTATGTAAATTGTTTCTTCTAAGCTAAATCCTTCTTGTGCTTTGCTTTGTTCATTATATCGTGTGAATTCTTCGATCATGTCATCATCTTTGTGGTTATGAAGTTTGAGTATTGTAGCTACCTTTGGTGATCGGGAATTGGGAGTGTAATTTCTGTATCTTAATTTATTAGGAATTTGGTTCATTAGAGTGAAATTGGGATGAGAAAAACATAAAAGCTTAATAAATATACACGCTTAATGACTTTTTAGGGATACCCATGATTCTTAGTATTACGCTTAATGATTTTTTAGGGATACCCATGATTCTTAGTATTACGCTTTATGTAAATGGCATGGTTTATGTTTGTTCAATGTGAAACATCATCACATTTGCTCTTTACCATTACTAATTTAACAATATTAGAGACAATGTTAATTTATGATGGGTTGTTAGGTTGATTGTTGCCATAAATGTTTAATCTTTTTAAACGCATATGAAGATTAGAGTGGTGATTGGGGAAACTAAGTATACGATTCTTATTGAAATAGAAAATAACTTTCAAACCAATGGAAGGTGAAATTTCCCAAAAGTTAAATTTATATCACTTTCCACAAAATTGTTTTACTATCTTGACGTTTAAACATATTTGGATGTGTAATTCTTTAAACCAAGTCTAGTAGATTTTCTACATCAACAATTAAGTTTAGCATGTGAACTGATATCTGATATAGCATATATTAGAGTTGGGCATTTATGACGTCTCGAACAATTTGATAGGTTGGACATATGCGGCAGACAGTTGATTGGTTTTATTCTCAGGTAGCATATTTGGAAAAATAGACCTGATAATCATATGATAATATTAGTTCATTTGGCTCAAGAAACTGATTATGATTGTTATTACTTGCACACAAGATTACCAGGTCACAGTCATGGAAAGGTGCCACAGGTCGCACTTTCCGATCGAGTTTTCAAGAGGAATCTTGGAAAAGATATAATCGTCGAATGCAGGAGGAGTATGAAGAAGAGATGGAGAGAGTGGTGTGTATCTCTTTACAACCTCTCTTTTCTTATCTATTCTGGTCCAACTTTTTCATATTGCAACACTGATATATTCGGAAATGATCACTGTTAAGTAAACCATAACCAATAAATTGAGCTTTTCATTTCTTTTTCTATGGTTCTCTGGATATTTCCAGCTTTTGTTTCATAGAGCAAGACCTTCTAATGGTATTATGTCTACTTTGCTAGCATGGATTACACATGGCATCAATAATTTGCTGCACTTACAATCTTCCTCATGTATGCTTGATGAGATAGATTGTTTGTTTCAGTAATGAAATGTCTACTTTGCTAGCATAGATTATACATTGTATCAGTAATTTGCTGCACTTACAATCTTCCTTATGTATGCTTTGATGAGATAGATTAGCTTGTTTATTTTCAGTAATGAAAAACTATCCTTTTAGATTGATCATTTAATGAAATATCAAAGGATGGAAAATGAAGATTGAAGTGATTTACGAATCCGGTTAGAATGGCACGTGAAAGCCTTCTGGATTTCCAGCTACACTGTTTTTTGGTCTCTACAATTTTGCATTTGGAAGCTTTGGAAGTTTTATTGTGCGATTCCAATTTCCATCTAAACTAAAGTTATAGACGAGACACAAGTTTGAGGGTTCTTAGTTGGAATGCATGAGGGACACAACACGTGGCAATGACCAACTTGTTTAATACTTTTGTTTGTACATTGGGACACAAGTACTGGATATGTATCAATTATATCCATTGCTAAAGACCTCTCATAAATATGTGGAAAAAATAATTTGAGAATGGATATATAGGTAACTTACAAAATTTGCATCATGTTTTGAGTTAAATTTTTTTTCAAACTGTGCTTCATATCACTAAATTGATTTAAATTTTCTGTAGGAACGTATTAGGCGCATGCAAAGTGTGTTCAATCGGGAGAAAAATAAATATAGAAAGGGTTATGAGAGTTGGAGGGAAAATAATGCAAGTGGATATCATCAACAATTTCAAAGGGATGATTGGTATTGGAAAACTGATGCATCGCAGGGAAGTAGGAGTAATTTTAGGGAACCTCCTCGGTCCCCTGCAAATTATTCCTTGTCCCATCATTATGCAGTCTTGGGTCTTAGCAGGTAAAACATTGCTATGACATATTAATACATTGTTCATGTTTTTGTTCCATTTGTACCTTTTCTAATACTATAACATGTGGATGTGCTGTTCCACTTCTATTAACTCTATGGAGGTATCTTATAATATCAGAACCTCTGAATATCAAACCTCCAGAAAGAAAGTTGGCAGGAAAGAAATATATTGATCGAGCTTTTCCTTGCGTAGTCTTCTTCTCTGTCTGGTTTTGAAACAACTTGGGTGAAATAGGGTTCTATTGGGACACACCTTTATTATTATCCTCAAATCTTTTTGGTCAATTTTCTTCTAATGTTATGCTAAACAATAATCTTCTGCAGACATCTTGTTGGGAGAGAAAAAGAAATATAGGAGCAAAGGAGATTAATAAGAACTTACATACTAATTTGATTGTTATAGAACTACAAGCATTTTAAATAGAGTAACACTTACGTAAAAATAACTTGCGAACAACATTACTAGGTGGAGGTCCACTTACTCAGCACACTACCAATTGATCGTCCACTAACACATGCTAAATAATTGGTAAACCCCTACGGTTCACCTATAGGTGGAGGGGGTAATTTTGGTTTGTTGGGTATAGCTTACTTCTTTTCATTTCTTTAACAAAATAAGTGTGTGAGGGGTACTTTTAGTATTTTGCTAGAATAATTGACAGGAGCGTGTTATTCAGGGGATTATAGCTTTTGGGTTCATTGATTCAGTTGCTACTTTATAACTTGAGCGAGAAGTTCTGGGAGAGTCCCTGGCCTCTTGAAAGCCATTGGGATTTCGTTTACATTCAATTCAATTTACAATCGGCCAATTCGAATCAGTTTATACCAAATTGGTATAAGAGCGGTCACGCTCCCAGGGAAGATGTGGACTAGAAGTATGGCAACGAGTGTTGACGATTTGGAGAGTAGTGTGGGATTGATTGGAAAAGGGATGCAGACATTGATGCAACAAATGGAATGAATCATTAAGTAGCAGGTAGAAATGACGAGTAAAGCAGACACACGCTGACGTCGAATGGCAAGGTATGTCGTGATCGGGAAGAAAAGGGAAAAATTGAGGCAAGGGTCATGATCCGTCGCATTTCCTGGCAGTTAAGGGACGGAAGTTAGAATTTTTTTCATTTGATGGGAAGGATCTACTTGGTTGGGTTTTTATAGTCGAACGCTATATTATGTCAAATCGCTTAAGTCAGGAGGAAGAGATCAATGTTTCGTTCATATCTTTGAAGGCAATGCCCTGAAATCATAAACGTCATCCAATTACTAGATGGGAGAATTTGAAGCTTCTAATTTTTCTTCAGTTCTGGTCGCTTGTTATAAGGTCATTTTATGAACAGTTTTTGGCGTTAAACAAAATGGGTCTGTAGACGATTATCGAAGGAAGTGTTCTTTGGTCAGTTCATAAATGGCCTTGACAACTTGATTAAAGAAAGCTACAAATGATGAGCCCTATGACATTAAGCGACAGAGATGGCTTCAAAAATTTAAGTGAAAAACAAGCTGATAGGTTGAGACAGAACATCATTCTGGGGTAAAAGGAGTACAAATCTGTTTGTGGATAATAAAAGTAGTGTGTCCAACTCAGTGATTCCTTCCGGTTCGTTGGAAAAACAGGATCTGAGTTTAGAAGGTTATCAGATCAAGAGGTTCAACAGGGAAGATCGCTTGGACTATGCAACTGGGGTGATGAAAAGTACTCTCCCTGTCACAAGTTAATGGTGTGATCTAGATCGAATCAATGAATGTTGAACATAATTGGGCAATTCATATGGATTTTGATTATTCAAAGTGAAAAATAGAGATAGAAAACCTAGCTGTTCAAGATGCTAGTCTCTTCAATACAAAACTAATGATATGATTTCTGATACCTAAACAACCTACGTGAAACCCCATATAAACCAAAAGCATAACAGAAAGAGAACATAAAATCCCACTACTACCCTTAAGGAAAAATTCCCTGCTACGCAGGTCCACCATACTTACGACTTACCCAGCCTTCTCACTTGTGATATGTGAAATGGACAGGTGGGTGCTTGACGTTTCCCACCTTCCAAAAGTGCCACCTTATCCTCAAGGTGAAATGTGGGAAAAGCTTGATTCATAGTTGACATATCCTCCTAGGTTGCCTCAAAATCTGGTAAGTGCTTCCATTTGAGCAACACCTCTATGTGTTGATCATTTGTTTTATCGAGCGCTTGAACCCCCAGTAAAGACTCTAATTCGACTTATAATTTCCATATCAGCATTGAGGTTTGGTGGTAATGATGTGGCAACTTGTTGATCTCCAATGGCATGCTTTAGTTGTGAAACATGGAAAATCAGGTGAAGCGGAGAAGTGGGGGCAGGGGGCAGCTGTAGTTTATAAGCCACTGCTCCAACACTTTGTATAACTTTAAAAGAGCCATAGAATCATGTTGCCAACTTTTGAAAGGCTCGAGTGGCTATCATCTTCTGGCATTATGGCTGTAACTTCAAATAAACACGATCTCCAACAGCAAAATGGAGATCCTTGCGGTACTTAACAGCCTGTCTTTTCATGATCTGTTGAGCACGAAGCAAGTGAGCCTTAAGCTCATCTAAGATTGCATCCCTTTCCAGCAGCTGGTCTTCCAAACTTATACCCCTGTCATGCCGAGTTGGACACGATTAAGGCAAGGGGGGTCTCGGCCATAAAGGGGCTTGAAGGGAGTACACTTGGTGGAACTGTGATGGGACGTGTCATACCAAAATTCATGGCAACCATTTAGCCCAATGCCGTGTTTTTCCCAATATTATGCATCGTAAATATGTTTCTACCGATTTATTCACCACCTCAAACTGGCCATCTGTCTACGGGTGGTAGGCTGTACTACGAAGTAAAGTGGTACCTTTGAGGCGAAATAATTCTCGCAAAATAAACTCATAGACCTTGTCACGATTTGAACACTATTTATGTAGGAAAGCCATGGAGTCGTACTGCCTCTTTTACAAACAAGGCAGCTACTGATGGGGCTGTGAATGGATGCTTTATCCCCAAAAAAAGAGCTAATTTGGTCAACCTGTCAACCACCACCAAGATAGTGTCGTACATAAGAGAACAAGGGAGGCCTTCAATGAAATCCATAGTGATCTCGTCCTAGACTTGGACTGGAACCGACAGCCGTTGCAGGAGTCCAGCCAGGTGGGTGTTGTCTGATTTTTGCTGCTGGCATGTGCTATAAGCTTGTAAAAATTTCATTGCAGCATGTCGCATTCCCACCCAAAACTATTTGGCTGCAAGTCGTTGGTAGTCTTAAATTCCCCAAAGTGTCCCCCTATCACTGAGGAATGGTATTTTTGTAATAGCCTGGCATTAGAAGTCGATGTGTGAGGTATAACCAATCTTCCTTTATACAAAACTCGTCTGTGTACCATCGAGTACCCCACATGCATTTTTTCATCATCTTCCAAGTCTTTTTTAGTTCTTTGGATAAATGGATCAGCCTCAATTTGCTTATCTAGACGGTCATTGAAACAACCCATGGTCATTGAAACAACCCATGACGACTCAAGTGCCTTTAATTCAATTTCTGAAACAAATTCCCGTGAACGTGCATCTATCACTCAATTCATAACTCTAGGTTTATAATGAATCTCAAAATTGTAGCCCATTAATTTGCTCATACATTTCTGGTAATCAGCCCCAACTTCTCACTGCTCCATTAAGAACGTCGGACTATGCTAGTCCGTGTGTACGACAAAGTGTGTACCCAACATATAGTGCCTCCATTTTTGTACTGCCACCACAATGGCCATCAGTTCCCTCTCATAGATGGACTTTAACGGTTCTGTGACCCCATAACTTGCTTATAAAAAGCAATTGGACGATCAATTTGCAACACGACAGCCCTTATCCCCACTCCGGATGCATCAGTCTCTAAGGCAAACAGCTGACTGAAATCAGGCATAGCCAATTCGGGGGCCTTGGTCAATGCTGTCTTTAGGTGTTGAAAAGCTTTTGTGGCTCCCGTATTCCATCCAAAGCAACTTAATTAATTAGTCAGTTAGGGGAGCGGCTATATGAGCATAACCGCTGATGTAGTTGTGATAATGCCCGGTTAAGCCAATGAACCTCCTTAGATCCCTTAAATTCTTTGGGATAGACCAATCTAACATGGCTCGAATCTTGTCTTTGTCAACCGCCACACCCGTTGCTGAAATGATGTACCCTAAATATGCAACCTCCGTCTTCCCAAACTCACATTTACGTAGGGTAGCATAGAGTTGATGGTCAACAAGTATTTCCAACACTGTGGATAGGTGTTCCTTGTGTTGTTGCTGACTGTGGCTATAGACTTGGATGTCATCAAAGAACACCAGTACGAACTTTCTCAAGAATGGTCGAAATATCTCATTCATCAAAGGCTGGAAAGTAGCCTGGGCATTAGTCAACCCGAAGGGCATAACGAGGAACTCATAATGTCCCTCGTGAGTTATAAAAGCAGTTTTAGCTACATCGTCTTCTTTGACCTAGATATGGTGGTATACAAATTTCAAATCGAGTTTAGTAAACACGCACGATGCATGCAACTTGTCAAGCAATTCATCAATAACCGGAATTCGATATTTATTCGGAACGGTAACCTTGTTTAGGTCCCGGTAATACACACAAAATCACCAAGATCCATTCTTCTTTTTGACTAGAAGAACGGGGCTGGAGCAAGGACTATTCGAATTTTGTATGATGCTCGCCTTTAACATGTCCTGTACTAGGTTTTCAATCTCATTTTTCTTAGCGGTATCGGTAAACACTCATAGGGCCCATACCATCCTCGAGAATAATTTTGTGCTCCTTCCCACAACGGGTTGGTAAACCCTTTGGCACCCAAACACCTATCAGTACTTTCGAACGATATCTTGCAAAAACAACGGTAAGTTAGGAGGGGTTACGGCTGGTGGAGTTAACTCCACTTGATTTAGTTGCAGTAGATACCTTTCACCTCCGTTGGCAATTGTCTGTAACATATTCT